CATACATAAAGTCAGAAGTATAAGGTGTGGCCTTCTGTAATTTAGTATCTGCCAATAGTGCCATGATAGGCACCTCTTTAGTAATATCAACTTCTATATCCTTCCATTCTGCAGAATAGGTTGGCGAATTTAAACAGATTAAGGGTCTAAGCTGGGCAGCATAGTAATACTCCTTAAGACAAGGAAGGCCCAATCCCTCTTTCTCTTTAACTAATTGAAGTGTTTTGTATTTAACCCTGGCTCCTTTATGTTGCCATATGTATTTCGCCAACATCCTGTCCCAATCATCAAAATATTTCTGATGTATTTTAATTGGTAAACAGTGAAAAAGGTAGAGCATACCAGGGAGAATGTTCATTCTAATTGATTCCACTCATGAGTATAAATCTAAGAAGTGAACAGTGTTCCACCTTAAATCAGATTTTACCTTTGAAGTTAAGGATCCATAGTTAGCATCGACCAATGTAGATAAATCCTTTGTCAGAACTACCCCCAAATATTTAATGTGTTCTGAGTCCCAATTCCATTTGTACATGTTCTTAATTCTGATGGATGGATTAAAATTCAGACGTAATATTTGGGTTTTGTGGACATTAGTTTTATATCCTGAGAGTGATCCGTATTCCTCCAGCAGTGTCATTAGTCTGGGGAGTGTCTGATTTGGCTTTGTTAAGAATATCAGCACGTCATCGGCGAATAGGGCCAGTTTTTGTTCCCCTGCTGTCATTGTAACCCCACTAATATCAGATCTTTGTCGTATCCACTGATCCAGGGGTTCTAGAAATAAGGCAAAGAGGAGTGGAGAGGCGCCACAGCCCTGTCGGGATCCTCTCTGTAGAGTAAAACTGTTAGTCAAATCCCCATTTACTTTGATCTTGGCTGTAGGTTTGCCATACAGTGCGGCAAAAGTATCAATTATGTTTGAATGGAAGCCAAATGTTGATGAAACGTTATATAGAAAAGCCCACTGTACCGAATCAAAGGCTTTTTCAGCGTCTAAACTCAAAATCAGAGTTTCCAATTTATGCTGATTAACATGCTTCATAATATGCAGTGTAATATTGGGTTTGCCTTTGGCTAGTAACGCCTGTCTGGTCTTGTTAATGAGGTCTGGCAGTATTATTTCCAATCTTTTAGATAAAATGGAGGTGAACAATTCATAATCAATATTTAACACACTAATTGGCCGATAATTACCACACTCTAATTTATCTCTATTCTCCTTTGAAATTATAGAAATGATTAGCCTGGGTGCCATTCCGAACTTAGTCCCGCCCACAACGTTTGAGGTCGGGAAGTTCGGTCTGGCATTGCTCAATAGTAGCATGAGTATGCTAGCACAATGTCTGGCGATCCAATCAAATTGTCAGGGCGGGCTTTATACGATGATGGACAGATGATCAACAGTAACGTAATCAACCACGTAACCAAAGCGCGCTTGGGTGACAACAACAATGGCTGCCGCTGGAGAGTTGAGGTGAGTAGATTCTGCTATTAGGTCTGTTCTAGAAGATATCGACAGCAAATTAATTTTAAAAGAGGAACAGAGAAACGCGATCAAGGCTCATCTTCTTATTCTAGGCGTGCAACTGCACGCTTTGATTTTTGTTGACAACAACTATGCGTCGCTTAACATACGTCACGCACTCCGTTGCTCTTATTGGTTGTAGGTCTATCCAATTGAGTGCAGAGGCATTTTTTTTCCTGGTTCGTTGGAAACACGCCCCATAATCACAGCTCTATGGAGCAGCATCAGACTCATTCTGACTAGAATTGAGTAGGACTACGTCAGGCTAGGAAATGATGGCCTCACTCCACGGAGAGGGAATCACCTTTCTCTCCATTACCCAGTTAAATGCTCTCAGTAATGTCGGCACCAGTTCCTCCTGCATACTTTTATACCATTATGAAGTGTAACCATCTGCGCCGGAGGATTTACCTGTTTTTAGTCTTTTAATAGCTGAGAAAACATCCTCTTCAGTAGTTTTGGATATTAATCTTTCATTTTGAGCATCCGTGACACTTGGTAGATTTAGTGAAGACAGAAAAGTATCAATTTGGTTAATCTCACCTAATTGCGGCTAGTTTCTATTGATTTGTCAATGGATTTCTAATGTGATGTATTGTCCTCTCTGCTTGCTGTTTTCTTAACCTGTAGGAGAGTAGCTTCAATGCTTTCCCCCCTGTATCATAGTACTGCTGCTTTGTAAAAAGCAGCTTCTTTTGGATTTCATGTGTATTTATTTCATTAATTTCATTCCTTACTTCTGCTATTTTTGTTTTGATTGTATCATGTAGGGATTTGAAATGCTCTTTCTGTAGCCGCCTAAGTTTTTCTTCTAGATCCTTCAGTTTCTGATTTTTAAGTTTCTTTACCGTGGCAGAAATAGCTATTATTTTACCTCGGATTACTGCTTTTAAAGCATCCCACAGCACAGTCGGTGAAACCTCTTCATTGTCATTAAACTCTAGGTACGATCTAATTTCAAGTTTCAGTTTTTCCTTATTTGCACTGTCTTTTAAAATATTTTCTTTTAACCTCCAAAGAGTAGATCTTGTCTTATTTTGATTTTTATTTTTTTTTATTTTGATATACTCTAA